TTTTGGGGGCCTCGTTTTTATGTTGTCCTCAGAACACCACAGTTAAAGGATTGTCCCAATTTTAAGATCATCTTTCCAGAGAGCCTCCTAGAATTCAGGATAACTGAGTACAGTTAGTATGACATTAGCCAAGTGATGGCCTCAGAAAATTTATTGCTTACCCACGGTCCTGGACACAGGCACGGTTGCCAGACCTCGTTCCTGCCTAGCAAAGACTTTCATTCTGTAAAGGTAACTGAGAATATGTAATTAAGACCCTGGGCTTTGGAGTCAGTCCATATCATTCAAATCTTGGTTTAATAATAGAATCTTCCACATAGTGTTGTTGGAAGGATTAAAGGAGGCTATCACTTAGGGCACTTTGTACACTTTGGGGCACGTAGAAAGCTTTTAAGAATGGTAGCTGCTAAAACACACAACCTTTTACAACTGGATGTTGGGGTAAGGAGTGCATTTCAACGACCAGCAGTAGCCACCAATGGTTTAGAACTGAGAGTGGTTCTTTGCTGCTGAGGCTCCTAAAGCCACCTGGAAGCTCTCCAGGCCAGACTTTGAGAATTTAAACATTTTCTAAATTTATTTTTAACCAAACTTAAAGAAGAGGGATTCCCACAGAGTGAAGGAGGCTGCTGCAGCTTTGCCATTTCCCATGGGGAAGTGACTGAGAGAAGCTTCTTCTTGTTGGTGGAGGAAATGGCGGGAGAGGGCAAGAGTTTGGCAGGGGAAGGAAAGAACTGGACAGGAGGCTGAGTCTGGGTCCTCAGCCAGCTGTCCCTTCAGCCCCCCAGCCGCTCTTTCTACTACTACAAAACCAGGGCGCTGGACTAAAAGTCCCTTCCAGTGCTGATTCTCTGTGAACGTAAACACCTGCCCTGAGCTACACTTAATGTGAGCCTACAGCTTTTATAGAGGATCCGTGTAAGTCGGCCATTGAAAAGATGTCTTTGTTTCTTTTATGCATGTCTAGGGGAAGGTGTTGTCCTTCATGTTACCCGGTGCCTGTATATCCCAGCCTATAAAGCCCTCTTAAAATTTGGAGCCAGGGGCCGGCCCGGTGGTGCACTGCTATAGTGCGCCGCTTGGGAAGCGCGGCAGCGCTCCCGCTGAGGGTTCGGATCCCACATACAGACCGGTTCCCGCTCACTGGCTGAGCGAGGTGCGGGAGCAGCACCGAGGGTTGCGATCACGTTGCCGGTCCCGGTCCGGTACGGGGGCAACACTGAGGGTTGCGATCCATTGCCGGACACAGAAAAAGACAAAAAGGGAAAAAAAAAAAAATTTTGGAGCCAGGAAAAGGTTTCTCTCTCTGCTTGAACCCTTACCCTGTTTCTGCTTGGACCATGTCAGTGATCCACCTTGGGATGTGTTTTTTCATTGTTCCATTTTCCCAGAATCTCAGAGCTAAATGGGGGGGGGGGAATCAATCATAGCTGCATCCCTCAAACAACTCAGGGCTCTAAATCTGCCCTAGAACTGGATGTCATTGCTTAATTTTACATACTTTAATATAAAAGCCACATCAGATCCTTTTGTGGCATTAAACGCGGTAAGTGGCTCATGCAGAATGACATAGTGAATGGATGCAGAAATGCGCTCTGCCCCACTGTCAGCTGCATGCATTGTCTGGTTCCTTCTCCGCTCCTAGTGCGTCTGAAATAACAGCAGCAGTCACAACTAAGGTGTGTTAAGGACCCACTCTGAACCAGGCACTGTTCTAAGTACTTCATATGTATTTCCTCATTCAGCAATCTTGTGTTTGGGGAACAAGGAAAAGGAGGAAAGTGGAGCAGGTCAAGCAGTCTGGCAAGGTCTCAGTGAGTGAGATACCATCGCCTTCCTTCATTAGCCCATGGGCAGGCAGGATGGGAGGCTACGTTAGATCCAAACAATTCCTTTGGCCTTGAGGGTCCTAGTGGCAGAGAGGCCTTGGCCCATCTGGTATTGGCTTGTTTATGTGGCTTGTTTAAGCCAACCAAAAACAACCAACCACCAGGAAAAAAGACAAGGAGGGGGAGGTAAGAATTGGTGACCATAGAAGACTGGGGAAATCTCTCTGGTTTCTAACTTTCCTGAGATCTACTCTGAACTCCAGTTGGTTCTACTGATTTGAGGAATCTGTGGCATCTCAGAGACATTAGCCCATTTATTGGAATGTGTATGGGCTATGGCTAGGGGATTTTTCCTAGGACATCCCAACTTTCCACAGACTTAGATCTGTTTGAAGGCCAGCTGGGCTGTGGGATGCTCTATGTGTCTGTTGAGGTTCCCTGCCTACCCTGATGGGGTTATAGAAGTATTCTCCAGAGGTGGCCTGACTTCCAGAGCTGGCACTGAAGGAGGAACCAGTCAGCCCATTTGGCCACAAGTCCTGAACAATTGCTATGTGATGGGATCTTTAGTGCCTTGACCTCCCCTCAGCACTGAATGCAAGAATAGCCATAAATAGGAGCAGTTTGGAAAATTGTAGTGGCAATCACGGTCAGGCTGACCCCTCAGGGCCTGGCCTGGCAGACTGGGTAAGTAAAGTCTTAATTTGGCCACTGAACTCAGCTGGGAATGTGCCCACAGTCAATATGCAAAGATCTGAGTGTGACCAAATAATAACACAGTTTTTAAAAACAAGTAATCTAGAAACTGTATATTCAAAAATATCTCTCAGTCAATCAACACATATTTATTGAGTCTCCCCCTGTGCCGAGCACCGTGCCAGACACTGGGGGCACAGTGGCGAGCAAGCTAATTGGGGACCTGCTGCTGGGGAGCTCCCTGCGTGTGGGCAGATGACTGATTCCACAGGCCATCGCTTCTGGTGTGGTCAAGTGCTGTGCTGAGGAGGCCTTGTCTTTTTGGGATTGCTTTGGGTGGCTCTGCCTTTAATCTGGATACAGTATCATTTCTTGAAACATTTTTGGAACTGCCTTTTAGGAATTGCCTTTGGAGATAGTCTGGGCCACACAGGAAAATCCATCTCACTATTTTATTTTATAGCCACACCTAGCTTGTGACCAAAAATGGTATTGCCCAGCTTGATGACCCACTCTATTGCCCAGACTTGGCTCTGATTGACTTGCTGGGAGCCAAAATTATATCCTCCCTCTAAGGATGGATATTTACTACCACTGAACATATCAGCAGTAATTTGGGTAATTTCGAAGTAATTTCTCACTTGCCCGAACTCCCATTTTCTTTTGTAACACTTTGCACCATCTCCTTTGTGGCAGAATTGCTTCCTTCTGCCTCTGTTTCCCTGCTAGGTTGGGGGTCTTTGGAGGGGAGGTTTGTACCTCTGCAGTGCCCAGCATGGAACAGATGTTCAAAAATGTATATTTACTAAAATTGAATATACAGGTTCTGAAGGAAGTTTCCAAAGAGGTGTCTCAGAATTGCTCTGAGTGACAAGAGTGTTGTAGAACAATGGGCAGTGTAGTGGGCTCCATAATCTATAAGGCCTGTCTGCAATCCCTATCTGTCCCCTTCACCAGCTGTGTGTCCCTGTAAAAAAAAAAAAAAAAAAAAAAACACCTCCATCTGATCTTCCGTTTCCTCATCTGTGGAATAGGGATAATGATACGTGTCTCACAGGGGCTTTTAAAAAAAATAGTACACAGCAGTCATATTATTTAAAGTCACTTGTAGAAAATTCATGTTGGAAGGAACCCAAGAGCTTGTCTAAGTCCAACCTCCTAATTTTCTTGCGATCCAGAAAGGATAGTGGGTTGACTAAGGTCACACAGCTGATTCATGGCAGACCTGGGTCAGGCCAGAACTCCTTTTATGTGGCATTTGATTTTTGTTCCTACATTTTGGATGTCCCACCTTCCTTGCAAGGGCCATGCACACAGGAGCTCCAGGTCCTGGAACACCTGGGTCACAGTAGCCAAGGATTTGGGATATGCATTTGCAGAGCTACAGGCACACGCTTCCCACACCTTTGTGTAGTAACACTTTGTCCCTCTGTGGAGTGCAGAGCACGTTGTGGTTGTGAGGCTCACAAAACTGGCAGGAGCAATACTGACTAGTCTGGTTAAGGAAGATGTCAGACAAACCTTGTACCACTGCTTACTAGCTTCCCATGACAACCTCTCTGAGCTTTGGGTTCTTCATCTGTAGAACAGGAACATAGTACCTACGTCATAGTGTTGTTGTGAGGGTTAAATGAAGTAACGCATGACAGTGCTTAGCACATTGCCTGGCATGTGGTAAACACTTTTTAAAATTTAATATTATGATCAGTAACACATCCCAAAACAGTCTACCTCTGGCATCGCCACCAGTCTCAAGCTAACCTCTAATCTGCCATAAGCTTTACCTGGTCTCTCTCCCAAGCAGGCGCTATTGATAAACTCTTTCCCCTCCCTTAATCTGCTTTTCCTCCAGCAGCAATGGCCTCTCGGATCTCCTATCGCTCCTAAGCAGGGACCATAAGATCCTGAAGTAATCAACAGCAGTTGCCCATCAGAATGGGAACCCCTGGGTTTTTTTGTTCATCAACAGTTATAGGGAGAAAAATGGACCACTGGCTTAAACAAACACTGCCTTTCCTGGGGGTTGCCTTTACTTTGAAGGCACTTACACTTTGGGGGCTGTGGTATTCTGCAGCATGCAGGCACCCACATCCCCAGATGGGTGCCTGCCATCTTTATCTCTTTGCTGTCAGGATCTTTGGACATGAATACACTTTGGGTTCTGTTTGCTACCTTTTTTTTTTTTTTTTAACTTGACTAAAACTGTGGATAATTGGGAGGTTCTGAATTTCTATTTGGAAAACATGATACTCTCATTAAGACCAAAACAATCCACATAACCCTAACTTTACCAGATTAATAAAACCCAAAGGCAAGATTTTTTTTTTTAATGTAGGAAAGTTGTATTTCGTAGTGGTTCTTGCAGTGCCCTAACCCGGGATTGCAGCCCTCCCTTGATTCTGGATATTACATCATTTCATTTTGACTAATGTAAACACTCATCACCCTGTGTGTTGCAGAATTTTTCACTATGGCTTGAGATTGGGCTTCACTCAGTGGGTCATTGTGGTGATTAATGGTTTCAGAAGGAAGTGCAGCAGGAAGAGGCTTTGCAGGAATGGAAGAGGTGAGGCAGCGCCATGTGAGATTCTGCAGAGGGATTAAGTTTTGGCACCGGGCTTGGTTTCTGTGCAGCCTCTCAGGCAGAGGAGCCCCAGGAGAGGGAAGCAGGCTGTCAGCTGTGGCTTTGCATGCTCTCAGCCCGCCTTGAGGGTTGGTTGGCTCTTCCCTCTCTCTGAGGTACCCAACTTTACCTTGTTAAAGAGGGATGTGGATGCTGGAGGCTTAAAGTAGACCAGGTAAGGCTTTTCATTGTCTAAGTCCCCCGGTGTTCTTCATGCATGGAATCCTGGGGGACTGTTTCTTTGCTAGCACTATTGTACAATGTTAGCCAAAATACAGTTCCTCTGAGACATTTTACAAAGAGGATCAGAGAAGTTTCTTTCCTTGTTAAGAAAGTTTATAAAATGTTTTAACCCGAAATGTTTAAGAATAGAGATGCAAATCTTTCTCTGAAATCACAGCTTTGAGATTACTTTTTTTGGATTTTAATCTACAAGATCTTGAAAGGGATCCTTAGGGTTTGTTAGATGTTTGTTTTTGTTCCTTTTGCAATGGCCTATGGTATGTTGTGTATCGACATTTAGTTTAATGAACACTTCTAATTTATTATATGCTGCAGGATACCAGCTTTTGAATAAGCTGCTCTTCTTTTTGCAGATTTGATTTGTTTTTTTCTTTTCTATCTTTTGGCTTTTGAGAGTATGATGCTGGTAAGAAATATCCTGAAGTATAACTAATTTTTAAGAGGAAAAAACTATACTTAGGAATTCAGTGCAAACATATTTGACAGCATCCTTGATTGAAATGATGTACATGTTTTTTGGTGCTTCAAATACTCATATGCTTTATTTTTAAAATTTTAGTATAGATGTTCATAGTTCGTGGGAAAGATGATGCAGTTTGTCTGAGTGGTTATTTACTCACAAACCTTAAAAGCATGTTAGACCTATGATAATATTAGCTCCAGAAGAGATCATTTAAAAGAGTAGTTTTCTATTTACCACCAACTCAATTCCAAATTCTGGGGGTTTTTTTCTTAAAAAAAAATCTAGAGTTAAAAATAACCCAGAATAAAACTCGAAAACTGTTTTGTTTCTCTGTATTTGGCTAAATTCATTGCAAAGTACTGTGCTTAAGGAATTCAAACTATGAAGACTACTCTTGAAATGGCTCACATAATTCTATGTGTGAACTTCTATGACCCTCTTCAAGAGCATATGATGTTTTATGAGTATTAGAATAAAAATTTCAATTAAGTGCTTATTCCTTCTACAACCCTAGGAGTTGGATAACAACCCTAAGAAAATAACATGAGGAATTGTGACACTGTCCTGATAAAAGTTTGTTTCTCCTGTGTCCAAAGTAGTATGGAAAGGGGGACATTTGGCACATCTCATTCCAGTGAGGATGTGAAGTGTCTTGGTAGCAGTGAATGTCTGTGATTATTGTGGCAGACCGATAAATGCAGGGACTCCTGATCACTTTAGTTTATTGAAAACAAAATGTTATAAAATGTGGGGGACTCAGACTCTAAAGCTTTGGTTGGGTGAGAGGATGTCTGTGTGTCCAGTTCTTCTCATTGTTTTTGTTTGGTGGGTCCTTTTAGTTCACATAGTCCTCTGTTTTTCTTTTGGGAAACAGACTGCAGTAGAGTCTCTTGCATTTTATATTACTTCAATCTAGCATTTTATGTACTATGAGTGTTTTCATTTAGGTTGGATGGCTAATAACAAGCCTGGCCTAAGGCTCAATTTGAGAAGGTATGAGAGCAGCCATAATCTTTAGGAAGAGAAAATCATTCCAAGAGTGCAAACTCTTAATTGTGCTGCGTTCATTCTCTTCCTATAATTGAACAATCTAGACAAGCTATTGTCACAAATGCTTTTCGTTATGGAGCTTTAAAAAATCATGCCGTATAATGTGGAAATGGTAAACTCTGATGCTGATTTGACTTTATTCATTGTCATATTGATATCATCATAAGAAATATCCTCAGTCCTCAAATATTTTTAGAAGACCAAAATAAAATATAATTTTGTTCATGTATTACCTTATCCTCCTTATTCTATCTTCTTCCTCCTTATGTCTCATTTTGGAGAGAGGGAGAATTGGGCAGGTAAACAATTGAGCAACAATTGCCAGGAACATCCAGGAACAGTTGCCGTGAATTATCCTTTCCTTCTTAACGTGTTCTTGGTAAAGCCTTTGTTTATTCATTTTATTTCTGTAGATTGAAATAGTAAGACATGCACATGGTTGAAAAAAATTCAAACAATGTAAAAAGGTAAACAATAAAGCCTCCTCCATGGATTCTAAACACCCGGTTCCCCTCTTGGCAATTTTTGAAAGGATTTTGAGTAAAGAGGAAAGAGTACTTTAGAACTGTTCTTGTCAAACTTTAGTATGCATAAGCAACACCTGCAGGGCTGGTTAAAACAGAGCTTCCTGGGCTCTGCCTCGGATAGATAGATAAATAGACAGATAGATAGCTATAGTCCATTATATAGCTATAGTTCATAGCACCCAAGAGACAGGTAGAATTTGAGGGACCTGGTGAGAGAAGGAGACAGGGTTACAAGGAGAAGACTGTTGAGTTCCTCAGGAGTCGAAGGCTCTCTTGAGACAGTTGGCAAAGAAGGGTAACAAGCCAGGGTCATGAAACAGATTACAGTATTAGAGTAGTGGAGGAATCCAAGGAGCCGCAGCATAAAAATGCCATCAGGAAATGCCCAGTGAATGGAAATAGTCAATAGTTAATGAAAATATGGCAGTAGAAAGGGGTTATGGATCACTTGACAAGGATAATGAGATTGAGCTGGAAACTGGAGTAGGACTGGCTGAGCTAAAAAATATCAGGCCAATTAGTAATAATGAGGGTATTTGCTTGCTTGTAGGTTGGCAAAATACCTCCCTGGGATGAATTAGGATAAATGACCATTTCCTGTGCTAATGATTTTACAGAACAAAAAGAAGAGAAAAAACATAGGAGGTGCAGGGAAGTATCTTTGTGTGTGAGCCACTGTCATTTAATGACCCTAATAAGTGTAAGAGTAATAGTCCAGTACAAGAACAGAAAACCAAAATAAAGTATACATGATGAGAACTAAGAAAAACATGAGTAGAAATTATGGAGAAAAAAATCAGTAAACCTCAAGCATCTTGCCAACTAATTTTTAGGCTAACTATTGAACACATTTTTACAAGCACAAAATGTGACAAGATTCAAAAAAATCATTTTGGGAGGTGTGGTTGAGAACTAGGTTCTTTTTTCTACCTCACCTTCTTTGTCCAATAAGATCAGAGTAAACAACTGTTACTAAAACCTTTTTTTGTGCCAGGCGTGTGTGAAACTCTCTATACCTGCCTTAATTCATTTTACCCTTATAGCTCTGGAGGTTGGATTGTTATCTGGGATAATAATTATTATCTAGAGATGCAGCTCCAAGAAGACTGCTCAAGGCACAGACACTTCTCAAGAAAGAGACATCTTTGAAAAAATAGAAGTTAGTTCAGTTGGAAAAACAGGTAAACTCACCTAGGAAGCCCACAAAAAAGATCCACATATAATTTAAGAAGAATTCTCTAAGAAGTTGATATTAAAGCAAAAATAAGAAGGCCTTTTAAAGTAGTTTAAATGAAGGTGCCAACCAAAGACCTGGTAGAACATTTGTAGTTGATCAGAATACTCCTTGGGGGATATGAAAAGGAGCCAGCAGGCATAATAAATTATTTGCCTAGATCTTTTCAGAAAAATATATCAAAATTATCTTTAGAAGCAGAGGTACTAGATTAAGTAGTCATAGATGCACAGAATGTTCTAGACCTAGTTGACAAACTGAATGTGGATTAATCACAGGGACAGGTTGGCCTTCATCCAAGAGTTCTAAAGGAATTCAAGGGTGAAATCATGGGGCAGCTGGTAAAAGCAACTAAATTTTACCATCAAAATCCCAGCAACCTCCTAAGCACAGAAGAATTTTAGGGCAGTGAATCTATTCTGTAAGACACTATAATGGTGAATAAGGGGACATTATGTATTTGGCAAACCCATAGAACTGTACAACACAGAAGAGTGAACCCTAATATAAACGTCAGTTAATAATAATGTATCAATATTGGTTCATAATTGTAATAAACGTACCACACTAATGGATATTAATAACAGGAGAGACTGGGAGGGCAGGTAAGGGAACTCTCTGCACTTTTACTCGATTTTTCTGTAAACCTAAAACTGCTATAAAAATAAAGTCTATTACGAAAGAAAGTCCAGCAACCCCCTAAACCTTGGTTGCCTGGTAAAATTGCCTGGCTCCATCTCTCTGTACTATATTATTTGAGCATAAATTATAACATATATATAAAACATGACATATAATAAATCAAGTAATATGTTTTAGAGAGCAGTGATTTTGAATTCCTGAACTCTGTCGGGTCACTATCTTGAAAGTCTTTGTGAACGTTTCATTCTTGAAATTGCTGAGAATTACCAGCCCCTTACAATCGTGTAAAATAAGCTTATCATAATTCATGTGAACCCAGTAGCAAAAGCACAAAGTAACAAATGGGCAGTGACTCAGTGTTTTGAGAAAGTATTCATCACACAGTGCTGCTTCACTAAAGGGGAAGAGGATTCCTGCAGCCTCAGAAACAGACGCTCACTGCCCGTTAATTAAATAGGTGGCATGTGGAGGGTTTAACGACTAATCAGCTTTTGAGCCCCTAATGGCACAGTCTCGCTGGCTGACTTGTCTAGTGGTGTGGCCCTGGGTCCAGCTGTCTCAGGCCTTCTTCTCTTTCTTGTGGTCCTGTTCTCTGCCTTGCTGCAGGTGGCCCTAGTTCTCTATTACCCATGACCAATGCTGCCGTTAGCAGGAGTACAATGGTGAGGGGAGCCTGGCCAGAGTCAGAGTAAAGTCAGAGTTTGTGCTGACAAGACAGAGAGCCCAGGAGAGAGAGTTGGTCAGGGTGAAAAGCCAGTGGGAGTAAACAAGAGATGTGGAGCTG